TTACCACTTCTTTGGGCAACCTGTTCCAGTGCCTCACCGCCCTCACAGCAACTTAGATACAAATTTATTACTATATTTTCTGCATGCATGTACATACACACACATATACAGACAGAATCTTCTCCTTGCATGTTTCTTATTAAAGATAGGTCTTCATACAAGATCTGATGGGTTTAGTTTATTGCTCCTAGTGTCTATGTCCTTGAACTCATAATTCTCAGTGTGACATCATCATCAGTCATTCTAAAGATGCTAATGGTATTACAGATTACCTCAGACAGGAAAACAAACAGAAAAAGTAATCATACCAATCTGAATTATGCTTTCATAAAACTCAATAACAAGAAAATGCTTGAAGGAAGATGAATGAAACACTGGTAATCATCTATCATGTTTATTTTCCTTGTGATACATGCAAAGTATTACTTGGACAGCCCAAATAGTATTTGGCTGTGTACAGAGAGGTGTCTACTGCCATTTTAGACAAATGGTATTTGGTTGCTTACAGAGAGGTGTCTAGTGCCATTTTAGACAACCTCAAGAATTCCAGCTGGCTTCCCTTTGCTTGGAACCCCCTTACATTTTGTGTATCATCTGCTAGCCCTGTGAGAGTATCTTCAGTGGCCTGCAATACCTAAACCAGCACTAGACTTCTACGTTTAGGCACCTAAAAGCCTAATCCATACTCCCTTTTTTTCTCTGATCTACACTGTGTGAAATGGATCAGAGTATTAGCATGGTATATTAAGTTTACACCGACAAGATAAGTAGAAAACTGAAAAACAAAAGTGGTCTTCTGATGATTATCATTTTAATACAACAGCATCTTCAGTGAAACATTAACTTCACGTTCACTGGTTTGCACAAATATTCTTATGCCATTCTTTTAAAAAAAAAAAAAGATTAATTCTGTCAGCAGTGCTGATTTAACACTCAAGTTGGGTATCTCAGGATCCTGCTGTTGTCTGCTGTTGACTATTATCCCTTCTTGTCTGAGACAAAGCTGTCAAACTGAATTAATATTGTATTAGCTCACCATAAAAAAGGGGAGGAGGGGAAAAGACGGCAGATCAGAGGCAGGTAAACATAGAGAGATAAAAACCAGAACGTTGTTCTTTATCTGGTATGCAAAATTAGGATTATCAATAGTGGCAGCATAAGGAGGAAAAAAATACATTACATAGAATACTTATGCTGCATTATTATGCAATATATCTAATAATGTATTTACTGTAAGACTCTATAGCAGCTAATAACACTAAGCCAGGGATGATCTTTTCATGACACTCTACACAAAAGCTGGTCTCCAGCCTTCTTAAAAATCTCACAGGTTTCTACAAAGAACAGATGGATGCAAACAGACTGGGCAGCACAAAGTACAGAATTATTGCCAGTAAACCACCACAGTGGCAGAAATACACTGATAACCTGAATTCTCACAAAGTTTTGCAGACATAACAGTGTAGGAGTTTTAAGGATGGATCAAAGAACAGTGCTTTCAGCATATTTATATTAATATCCTTCAAAGTGTGCAAGTGATGAGAATTAAAAAAAAAACACGTATCTACTTGTATATGAATTAAATTAAAACACATTGGAGCTCAGCAGAATGGGCCAAGTGAACTCAGGAGGTAGTATCTCATTGATGATAAAACATATCAGCCAGGGTGAAGAAAAGTCATGCAGGGTTCTGAAGTGGAAACTTTCAGCTAACAATTTCTACAGCTTGTATTTGATGCAATAAAAAAGGGCAATTTAGAAGGGGAGAAACTAATTGAAGCAACACTCGAGCAAAGCAGATTTACAGCAGTGATAGAACAGAATGGAGGCTCTTACTCCTACAAAGGACACTCCTTTGCAGAATGCTAACCTGGATTTAGCAAATTTGATTTATCCTACCTCTCAATTCAAACTTAAAGTTCTACCTACTGTTACAGCTTTCTCTCATACCATCCAAGGAATCAAAAATAGAGATCTTTGCATTAGTGTTTGCTCTCTGATTTACCTTCATACCAAAGCGTTCTGCATAAGCAAGCAATTGAGCGAGATGAAAAGAATTCCAAAGATAGTGCTGGCAGCTCAGGCTCCACCTTGAACAAAGACTTCAGTTCTATTCTACTACACTAGAAGGAATTCAAGAAAGATCAACGAAACTATTAAAAAGGAAAGTATTTTACATGTGCTGGAATAAAACTCTGTTAACTAATGACACATTAGTTATAGCACATAATTATCTACATATAGCACATCATTATCTACAAATACATGGTAAATCTAAGTAGAAATTGAAGGAAGATATCAGCATAGTAAAAAGGGTATAACTAAAAAACTGTCATTATGAGAAAGGAAAATGTAATGTCACCTTTAAGAAGTGACTCTACTGGAATATGGAATAACTTCCCAGAGAAAGCTCCATTTCCCCAAAAAATTGCAATCAGCAATAATAAAAACATGATGTGAATTATCCTATTTTTTTAATATATCTAATTTACATCAAAGTTTTACTAAGATATGTGAGCTGCTGTACACATCACAGAAGGCATAGGTGTTTTAATAGTACACGTATACTCTTAACCACAAACCAAAACATTCTTCTATTCCATTTTAGCTTGGAACTTCATGCAGCAATGATGATTCCACCAGGCATATATGTAGGAAAACACCAGGCCACAGTCTGCCACCAGGCAAACTAGAGGAAATTATTCTGATATGAAGAAAACAGTAGGTGGCCCATCATCATAATGCACTTGCCTGCCCCATCTTCTACTGCCATATAAACGACATCAAAAATAAAAGAAAATGCCAGTTTTAGGTTATTTTGAAGACTCCAGTGAAACTGTGGACAGAATAGCTAGAGCAGAAAAGGACATCAAATTGTTTCACTTCAGCTTTCAACACTCCATTCTTTGATCACAGTCATCTTAAAAGTTTCTTGTGGAAAAGATGCTACAGTTTGATGTGTACGTTCTACATTTTTATACGAAGTTAGTCTTACTGAACTACACACCAATGTCTAAAAGTAAAGAACATGACTAAAAAGCTCAGACCAATCATGTCTTATTAAGCATAGAGCTTGATCTGTTTGTTTCAAAATTTATACAACACCTTCAGAATTAACTATCTTTCTGTCAAACTTTGTTACCTTACCTTAGTTCATGAAAGGATCTCTGAAATAGTTTCCATTTGACCTACATACCAGTTTTTCTTTTCTCACTTCCAACACATATTATTCTACTGTATAAACTAGGCATCCCTACATTGCTATTGTATCAATAGCCTTTGATTAAAGAACAGCTGAAGTACAACACCAGTAGTTATTGAGAAACCATACAATAAAAAAAAGTTACTTTTAATATTCAGTGATATTTATGCAACTCTTCCTTAGGTGAGAAGCTTAAGAGTTACTTAATTTATCATTTTTAATCTCTTTTTTCTTTATATTCCCTCACATCCCACGTTTCTTCACAAGCCTCCTGGCAACATCCCCCAGGCAAAGGCTTCCTGGAGCAAATTCTCAAGTGGAGCAATGACATCTGTGCATCAGCTGAGGATCATTTTATTACACATACATTACTGATCAAATGCAGCATTGGCCTGTCTGCAGAGTCACTCTTTTTGCTCAGAAAAGCTGCAACCTTTCCTCCAAACTAAAGCAGTCATGCCAGAAGATCCTCAAATCAAAACAATTATATTCATCAACAGAATGCAAAATTTGCAGCATTAATGAATAGGCACCAGCTGCAGTTGCACAGATTATAAAACGCGGAGTCACCGTGTTTAGATACTCCAATAAAAATAGTTCCTCTCTGCTGCCATCTACAGATAGATTTGAAATTGTTGTAAAATCTACTTTTCACTTCCAGATACGTCTTTAAGAATAGGATCTTGACACGCCCTACAAACCAGTTCACCTCAAATATCTCAACAGTGTTACCGCAACATATTAGAAGTGTCAGGCGAAGCTGAGCCCAAGCGACAGGTCGTCGAAAGGTCTTTAGGTATTGCCACGGTGATTTAGGTGTTGCCAAGTGATGCTTTACCCTGTGCAAAATCCTCATCTGGGAATTAGGTGCTCATGTTCTCTGTCTAATGCATGGGAAGAGTTAAGTCTCACACAGATGCCCCTCAGAAGCCAGATGAGCTGCCAAAAGTGAAAGGGAGATTCTCAGGTATAAATATAAAAATCTCAGGTATATATTTAATGCTTTTGCTTGAGTCCTCAGAATATCTAAGGCTTACTGGTTGTGGCATTGCTATTAGATGCCTGCTTCAGACACCATACTGCCAGTTTCACAGCTGTACGTTCTAACCAAGAGGTTGCAAAGTCAGTTTCCCTCTCTGCATGAAAATGAACCTCAGTAGGCAGAAGTGGTACGTTTGTAAAAGACTGACACCTCCAATACACAGTGGAGACAGTGTAACTCAGGCTGCTCATCTGTATTAAATGACTGTATGCCTGTTAAGTATAAAATACTATTCTTGCTTAGGGCCCAAACTGAGCGTTAGTTGATATGAAGTAAATCGATCATGCACGGAACAACTATTATTATGTTCCTGCAGGGCATCTTCCCTCAGAGGTCTGACCCTACACACCCTGCAAGCTGACTTTAAACCTCTTCAAACGCTACCATAATTCAGCGGTTTGTTGTAAAACATGCTTCTAAGAGCTACCTAAGCATGAGGAGACAAAACGCGCAATCCACGGAGCGCTCCTGAAGACCTCCACGGGCTCTCGCAACAGTCGCCGCACATCTCAGCCCCCGCCTGTGCGCGATAGGGCCGGGCCCGGCTGCGCGCTGCCGCCTGAGACCGGGCCCAGGGGGACTCCGCGCTCCGCCCCGACCTTACCCCCCAGGGCCCGGCCAGGGGGACCGGGAAGCCGGGTGTGAAGGACGCGCGGCGCGGCGCGGCGGGACAGATGAGAGCCGAAGCAGAACGTCCTGTGAGCACCTCAGGACCCCGCTCGCCAGCAGCACCTCAGGCGCACCCTGACTGCGGAGGAACCCCCGCCGGCGGCTCAAACCACCCTCCGCCCTGACGGGGGACTATCGCTGCCCGGCGCGCTGCTGCGCATGCGCCGCCGGGGGCCTTGTCCCAGGTTCTGGACGCAGGGATCGGCCGCGGTGGGGGTGCCGTGCGGGCGGTACCGCAGCCGTGGCTGGGGCGGGTCCCCGCAGGGCGGCGATGGCCAGGCCAACCATCGTGCCCATGAGAGTCAGGGTGACCGTCCCAGAGGCCTTCATGGTGCTCCACCTGAGGATGAAGATGGTGGAGGAGCAAACCAGTGCCCTGGTGCGAGACCTGGAGGAGCTTGGCATCAATGGGCAGAGGTAAGGAGAAAGCAGGGTAAGTTTTTCCCCTTCAGCAGCCTGGTCTAGTGGAAGGTGTCGCTGCCCATTGCCGGGGACTTGGAACTAGTTGAGCTTTAAGGTCCCTTCCAACCCAAACCAGTCTGTGAGTTGCAGTTTCGGATATTACTTCATTTTCCTCTTCTCAATCCTCTTTTCACCCCTTTGCCGTGCTTTGCTCTTCTTTCCATGAAGGAGCTGGTGCTGGCAGCATCAGCAAGAACAGGCTACAGCAACCTGGGGTCACTGGAAACCTTCCAGCTCTGTGAAACGTGGTTTCTAATCTAATCACACCTGTAACGCATACATGCAATGTCAGGTGGGTTTACATACACAGAGTAGGTCAGTCTTTTCTCCTTTTCAGCCGTGAGCATTTCCACTCAGAGACCTCAGAAACACCCGCTCGTCCCCCAGCCATTAGCCCTGTGCAGGCCAGGGTAGCATTTGTGGGAGAAAATACACTGTGGAAGAACTGTGAGATGCTGGTGAATCGAATGTGTCAGTTAGAGAGTGTTGTACAGACACTGAAATCAAACATCTTCCGGCTGCAGGCAGAAAAGAAGCTGAACTCCAAGCACACAGGTAGTAAAAAAAAAGGGGGGGGGGGGAAGGGTGTTACTACTTCATTCTTTATTATCCCTACTAATGCTTTTTCTGTCAGTGAAAGCTTTTTGCCTTTTCCTGTGCAGCCCAATTGGAGCAATGCTTGAGTACACTCCATGAGGCTCATTTGCGAGAAATGGAGACAGTACAGCAAGAAGCAATGAAGTTGCATCAGCAACTGAGTGATGTGAAAGAGGCTGAAGAAAAGGCAAAAGAAGAAGTTCAGAGACTGAGTACTGCTCTGGAGATTACAACTTCATCCAAGGTACAAGATTATGATCTTCCAGTAGTTTCAAGTATGAACAGACTTGTTTTTAAGTACAGTCATCTCTGATATAGTTAAACAGAATGTATATTCAGCTGGAAAAGGGAGTTTATGATATATTGTTGGCAGTAAGAGCAAAACCATTTGATAATGAGATTCTGTGCTTCCAAAAAAAATCACATAGGAAATAAAGAATAAAAATATTTGGGATATGTAATTCTGTCATCTTTGTGATTTCAGTTCATCCCAGCTTTTCTCAATAGCTTTTCTGTTTTTCCAGGAATTTCTCTGGTGTTTCAGTCTTACACTTCTGTTACTATCTCCCCTGAAGAGAACTTCAATGGAGTATGTCACTCAATCACATTAACTGTACTAAAGAATGTGTTGCTTCTTAGCGCTTGCACTCTTATATTCAGTGCTTCAGAACAGAGAACATGAGGCTGGAGATAGAAATGAAGTTCTAAGTGTTAGTACAGCAGTTGTATTCTATAATAAATAGGTAATAAATAAATTGCTTTTGCAATAGTTATGAACACGACAGGATAAAAATATCTGTTCCTTTCATCTTCTTTAGATGGATGTAGTAACTGCAGCTGAGGAACTGCGGAACACAAACCAGAAGATTAACTGTAGACTTCAGGAAGTAAGTACAGGAGCAAAGAGCTCAGTAGGAGGATAAATTTGCCTAGTGTTTAAAGATTTGAAGATTCTTAAATAATATTCTGGGTGCAATTTGGGAATATGCAGAACCCAAAGGAACTTGCCAGCCATGCTCATAACTAAATACAGACAGAACATCTTTCATATATACTCTTGAAGTATTTGTTCAATCTGTCTAATTAGATCTGGGTCAGAAAGTGTTTATTTTTCTAGCTCACAGAACAGCTCTCCCAGGAGATCAGCCTGCGGCAATCTCTGGAGGAATCCCATGCAACTGTGTTGTGTTATGTACAGGACATGGAAGCAATAGTAGAAGTGGAACAAAAGCAGGTTTGAGAAACTTTCAGTCTTCTTTTGTGTCTGTTTTCGTTTTCTCATCTGGGAGGAAGAGCAAGAACTTGGATGTCGTTCCTAGAAACCAGTTAAAACACTTTACAACATTTTGTACAAGTGTTGATCAGAAGACATCATGTAGTCAAATTTCCTGCTCAAAGTCGGAGTATCACAAACACTGGACTGGAGCAGTAGTGGATTTGTTCAGCAGCACTGTTCGAAGACACTAATTCCATGGCAGCTGTAGGCATTTTTGATAGTACTACCATAATGTTCCAGTTAAGATTTTTTTCTACCATCCAATCTGAATGTTCCAAGCTTAAATCTGGGACCACTGCCCCTTCCTTTAATCATTCAGTGCAACTGAAAAGAATTTGACTTTATAATCTTTGTAACTGCCACTTACATTTGTGGGACACAGATGGATCCTGCCTTAACCTGTCTTCCCCAGGCTGTACAAACGTCTTTATAATTGGGGTACCAATAAACAGAAAAATATTTTGTTGAGATCATAAACTTTCTGGGAGTAAGAATGCTTTCTCCATTAACTGCCATAATGACAAAGCAAGATCTTTGTTCGCAGCTGTATTTGTATTATCTAGCTATTTTGGAGTGTGGGGAGAGGCCATAGTTCATAGTAGAAATGAACTGGTTTACGCATAATTCACTTAACAACTCTGCATGTATACGCACATGCCAGCCTAACACTTCTGAATTCATAGCAACAGTTTAGTAAGGATGAAAGAAAGCAAATAGCAAAGTATCAAAACTTGAATAACTGAGGTTTGTTTGTTTTTTTATTTTTTGCTCATGATCAAGATCTGTGTCCCTGAAACATACAAAGTTCTGTTAGAAATTACCGGTTGGTTTTGTTTTTTTTTCCCCCCTACATGCCTTTTATCATTGTGTTCTTCTACAGCAGAAGTGGAAAAATGATGGAGACCTTATTGAACTGTATGAATTACATACATCATGTGAGAAACAAAGGCTTAGTTTCATTAATCTGTCAGTTGTTGATGGGTATAGTTGACCATGTTGCATTCATCTTCATCTTCTATAGCTTGATCTTTTCTGTAATCTTAATTGTACAAACGGTTAGATTCTGCCTGTCATGTAAAGATGATTATAAGCACACATACACTGTGTTACATATAGAAATATATAGAATTGCTTGCCATAAAAGTCTTCTGCATAAAGCTGGGATGAGCAGAGAGGAGAAGCTGACCAGGCTTTATCTTTTCCACTTAGATTAACTTTTTAGGCTCTGAAATCTGGTAGGTTTGCCTGACTGAATTCTGCATCTTAAAGAATAACATGTAATATCATTGCAGGTACAGATACTACACCAGGACTGCCAAGACTTGTGTAAAAATTTCCAGCTAGCCCGAGTGAGGCTGCAAGAGGAAGAGGAAAGAACTGCACAGCTGGAGCAACAGTGCACAAAACTGAAAGCTGAGCTGGGTATGACAGTGGATTCTTGTCACATCCTTTTAGCCCTTCTCTGTCTTCTGCTTCCACAGTGAGAGGAAACAAGCACCAGACCTGTTAATTGAAGGAACTTCTGAGTGAGTCTTTGATGATACCTTGGATGTCACAACATTTTGGCTAGATTTCCCTCCCTACCCTACTCATGCTGAATTGTCTTTTGTTGTCTTTGTATTTTCCCAGTATGTTATAAAGCACAGAATATTATAGGCAGGTTGATTCAAATTCCAACAAAAATGCTTCTGTTTTTAGATCTGTGTGGTTTTAGCAGGGATCTGATCTAACTACTGTTTTCTTTATCAGTGCACAAAAATTTTGTATATGGGCTGCAGGTTACAGTCGGCACAAGTCAGTTGCTTACACACCTGGCAACTGAATAAGAGTCATAGTGTTACTTGATTTGCTGAAGCAATCACAGAAGTGGTACATGTAGGAGACGGGCATGATGGCATGCTTCATTTAAAAATTAAATACATTACAATTACTCTATGGAATCAATTTTTCAAAGTAATTTTGCTGAAATACTGAAGTTATCATGGAAATTATTAATGAACAGCATATTTGTAGCAGTCTTACTGCTTTGTGGCATATTCAGTAACTCAGATAAACTTTAAATCAAAATGTCACCTTTTAAAGTTACCAAACAGATAATAAAGTCTGTCCTGACATTCTTTCCTATTTTTAGACTCCAGGAACTGTATCATTTCCCAGCTTGGTGAAGAAACAAAAGTAAGTTGTAAACAAGTATTGGTGAGGAAAACAGCTAAATAAAGATCAGAACAGCCTATGTGAGACCTTTCAAATGTACAACATTCAGAGGCAGATTTTTTATGTAGACAAATGCCAAGTGCAACCAAGGCTACTAACCACTGAATGTCTTATTTTATCATTTTACCAGTTTGGGGTTGACCTACTTATTTTTGAAAGATTTAACTTTCGTATTCTACTGAAATATCAAAACACTGATATGAATGCCTGCCTTGGAAAGCTAGAACTGGCCACAAAACACTGTTGTGGTAGCACAAGTATTGCATATAAAGGAGACAAATGGGTTGGTGATTAATACTACAGAAAAAAATCAGAAGCTTGGTTAACTGGGTACTGAATTTTCAAGCAATTGCTAGGGGAAATCCCATGGGCAGGGCTGTTTGAAGGTAAAGGGGCCCAAGATAGTTGGTTGGCATTCAAGGATTGCTTTTTCCGAGCTCAAGATCGGAGCATCCCGACACGTAGGAAGCCAAGGAAGAGGGCCAGGAGACCTGCGTGGCTAAATAGGGAATTGCTGGGCATGCTCAAGTAAGTGGAAGAGGAGAGTTTACAGGTCATGGAAGGAGGGGCTGGCCACTTGGGAGGAATATAAGGCTGCTGCTAGAGGATGTAGGAAGACAGCTAGGATGACTAAGGCATCCTTAGAATTAAACCTGGCAAGAAGGGTCAAGGACAGCAAAAAGAGCTTTTTCAAATACATGGCAGACAAAACTAACACCAGAGGCAATGTAGGCCCACTGATGAACGGGATGGGTGCCCTGGTGACAGAAGATACAGAGATGGCAGAGTTACTGAATGCCTTCTTTGTCTCTGTCTACTCTGCTGCAGGCAGTCCTGAAGAGCTCTGTACCCCTGAGACCTTAGATGAAGTCAGGTCGACGGAGTGGTTTGCCTTAGTCGATGAGGAATGGGTTAGAGATCAGTTGAGCAATCTGGACATCCATAAATCCATTGGTCCAGATGGGATGCACCCAAGGGTGCTGAGGGAACTGGCGGAAGTCATTGCTAGACCGCTTTCCATCATCTTTACCAAGTCATGGGAAACGGGAGAGGTGCCTGAGGACTGGAGGAAGGCGAATGTCACTCCAGTCTTCAAAAAGGGCAAGAAGGAGGACCCGGGTAACTATAGACCGGTCAGCCTCACCTCCATCCCTGGGAAAGTGATGGAACACCTTGTCCTTGGTGCCATCTTAAGGCATATCAAGGATAAGAGGGTTATGAGGGGCAGTCAACATGGCTTCACCAGGGGGAAATCATGTTTGACCAATCTCTTAGCCTTTTATGAGGAAATAACACGGTGGATGGATGATGGCAGAGCGGTGGATGTGGTCTACCTTGACTTCAGCAAAGCATTTGACACAGTCTCCCACAGCATCCTCACAGCTAAATTGAGGAAGTGTGGACTGGATGATCAGGTAGTGAGGTGGACTGCGAACTGGCTGAAGGAGAGAAGCCAGAGAGTTGTAGTCTATGGGGCTGAGTCTAGTTGGAGGCCTGTAACTAGTGGAGTGCCTCAGGGGTCAGTACTGGGACCAGTATTATTTAATATATTCATCAATGATTTAGATGAGGGAATTGAGTGTACTATCAGCAAGTTTGCTGATGACACTAAGCTGGGAGGAGTGGCTGACACGCCAGAAGGCTGTGCTGCCATCCAGCGAGACCTGGACAGGCTGGAGAGTTGGGCAGGGAGTAACTTGATGAAATATAACAAGGGAAAGTGTAGAGTCCTGCATGTGGGCAGGAACAACCCCAGGTTCCAGTATAGGTTGGGAAATGACCTGTTAGAGAGCAGTGTAGGGGAGAGGGACCTGGGGGTCCTAGTGGACGACAGGATGACCATGAGCCAACACTGTGCCCTTGTGGCTAAGAAGGCCAATGGCATCCTGGGGTGTATTAGAAGGGGGGTGGTTAGTAGGTCGAGAGAGGTCCTCCTTCCCCTCTACTCTGCCCTGGTGAGACCCCATCTGGAATATTGTGTCCAGTTCTTGGCCCCTCAGTTCAAGAAGGACAGGGAGCTGCTGGAGAGAGTCCAGCGAAGGGCAACAAAGATGATTAGGGGAGTGGAGCATCTCCCTTATGAGGAAAGACTGAGGGAGCTGGGTCTCTATAGTTTGGAGAAGAGGAGACTGAGGGGTGACCTTATAAGTGTCTATAAATATATAAAGGGGGAGTGTCACGAGGATGGAGCCAGGCTCTACTCAGTGGCAAACAATGATAGGACAAGGGGTAATGGGTACAAACTGGAACACAAGAGGTTCCACTTAAACTTGAGAAGAAACTTCTTCTCAGTGAGGGTGACGGAACACTGGAACAGGCTGCCCAGGGAGGTTGTGGAGTCTCCTTCCCTGGAGACATTCAAAACCCGCCTGGACACATTCCTGTGTAACATTATCTAGGTGTTCCTGCTCCGGCAGGGGGATTGGACTAGATGATCTTTCGAGGTCCCTTCCAATCTCTAGCATACTGTGATACTGTGATACTGTGAATGGGCAAGGAGGTATGTTTACTGCCTATTTAGGGAGTGTGGCTGCTGTCTGAAGTCTCTGAAAGTTTCAGTAAGATGAGGTAAAAATTCAGCTGAGCCATGGAGTATCACAATGCGGGCAAAGGATTCCTTAATTCATTAATTGTACCACTTCTGTCCTTTAAGCTCAGAAGCGTTGAGACTAATTATACTGGAAACTAATAAGTTTGAGCTCAGAAGGATATAAAGGCACCCTCAACTTTCAAAGCTAAGTTAGAGCATGTAGCACTTTGGTTGTTGTTTCATATTTTGGAAAGAGGCTTGTCTTAGATGAGCCATGTGCGGTGCTTGCAAGAACATAGCGATGTGACAATAGCTTAAGGAAACAGGCAAGTACAAAACAAAGATTTCATATTTGTGAAGTGTCTGGCTAAATGACATCTAATTTTTTTTTTCTTAGTGTTTTGTTTTATTGCCCCTTAGAATGCACAGCTGTCTTTAAGCAAAGAACACAAGGAGAACCTGCAACTTCAGTCTAAAATGACCACCTTACGAGAGACAGTAGAGAAAGTACAGGTAATGAGAATAGCTACTCTTGTTTTTAAGATGGAAATAAAGTAGAACAAGCGATTATAGTGAGAAATGATTATATATTAATGGGAAGCCTCAAATGCAGGTGAGGAGACAAAATTTAATGCCCTCAGGTAATGCGGGCTAATTCAATCACTACAGTAGGTAACTGTTCCAGATTTCCTATCCTTAAGGCAGGAAAGTTTTCTTCACAATACTTATTTTGAATCAGGGTTTTTGAACATGTCTGCTTCAGGGGCCAGGACATGTAGGACTACCGCTGCTGCCTCTTCTATCTACCCTCAAAGTAGTACATTTATATTCCTTTGCACCTTTATATTCTTAAGGAGTATGTTTCTATTAATGAATCAAATATGCAGTACCTGTTTGACTAAACTTTCCTCTGCCTGTTGGGCCAAAAGGTTCCATTTTATCTGTACCTGTAGAAAACCAACTGTGAAACTAGTAGGGGTCTGTTTTCAATTTTTGTCTTTTTTGCCTTAGAAACATTACTTTTTGTCTGGACTTCAAAACTCAGAAGTGATTATGCTTGATAGGTAGTTTAAACTATGTTCTCTTTCTTCCATATTACTCTAAAGTTTTGACACCTTGGAATAAATAAGTCTCCCATAAATAGGGACCACCTGAACAAATTTTTTGGAGACTTTCTACCTAAAATAGCTTTTTCCACATCTGCAAGAGATTTTTTAAAAGTTTCTGACAGGCTACTATGCAGAAAAAAAAGACCTAATCCCCTGAAAACATGTCTCTCATCCTCCTCCTCCTCCTTCTATCTAACCAGATCCTTAATGACCACTTAAGCCAGCAACGCTCAGAGCTCAGCACCACACTCCAAAGTGTTGCCATGGAGAATGCTAAACTCATTTCAGACCATCAGACTGTGCTTAAGGTACAAGCCTACTATTAAAGTCCAAGAAAGTTTGTAGCTCAGACGTTAGACAACAGACTAATTCCTAATACTGATAATCTGTGGGAATAGAGTAAAATATTTCACATACAGTAATGGAGGTTCTGTAAAGTGTTAGTATCCTTCTTTGCAAAGATTTACTTTCAGTACAGAAAAAAGAGGACATATGTTTTGGGGAGAGAAAGTAAATGTGGTAATCCTAAATACAGAATTATCCTGTAACAACCACTAAGAAAGAGGAACATACAAATTAATGGGTATTTTAAGTACTGTAAAAGCAGAAGATAAGTGGAAGTAATATGGATCTGAGATTAAATATATATAGATAAAAGCTAGGTAAGGTGAACTCAGATTTGACACCGTATTCAAGAGACAGCACACCACAATATGCAGAACTACAGGGACATTGCAAGAGCTCAATGACAAAGGAACAGCTTTGTAAATTAGTTACTCGTCCTTCATCATTCTGATGTTAGTGTTATTGCCTGGGTCATTTTTCCCCTTTAGGCAGAACAAGACAAGACCCATAAGCTGCAAGAGCAAGACTCACTTCTGAATGCTGCCCATGCCAACGTTCTTGGAGAGCTGCAGAGTGTGCAGCATGAGAGGTCTCAGCTTCAAAGAGAGCTGTGAGTTTTCTTGTCTGCAGCCTCTTTCCCCCCTTCCTCCATTGTATTCTCATCACCTTGATTTCTGCTTCTCTAGCACTCATTACTTAGTAACACAGAAAGGCCAGTTTGGTATTTAATATGGAGGCCATCCTCTGTCCTTCTGTTGTGCTAGAACTCCAGCTTGGCTTTTTTTTTCTTTCTTCAGGGAGGCCTTGCGTACAGAACATGGCAAACACAGGCTGAAGGCAAGCCTTGCTGAGAAGGCAGCAGCCACACAGAGACAGCTTCTGGAACGTACTGTTGCTAGACTGCAAGATGAACTTGAGTCAGCTTTGCAAGAGAAAAGATCTCTGCTGGCAGAAAAGGCAGATCTTCAACAGGAGGTACAGAAAACTTACTGTTTTAAAACCGTATTGTTGAAGGCTGCTTTCAGACCCACACCATTAGGGTTCTTACTGATGCACCAGTTTTGCTTTCAAGATTACTATTTTTGGCTGTTGCAGTTACAAATGTGACACACTCTCCCCTTTCCAGCTGTGCTTATATTTTGACTTGTAATGTCTCCTCTCAGAAGCATGCAAAGGGAGAGAAGATACGGCAGCTCAGAACTTCAGATCAACTGTTCTGAATGTGTAATACTTCTATGAATCTGGATGTTTTCAGGTGACAATAATGTCACATTCTTTTTAACAGATAAGGACAAGAGCAAATGAAACACTACAGGAAAGGAATAAATTAGAAGTACTAAAAACAGAGAATGAGGTATCTTGCAATATAGATGGCTGGTCTTTAAATTTAGTGTTTTCTCTTAAGTTTTGCTTTCATTTTGCCTACTCTCTCAACTCAATTATTTCTAAATACTGTGATATTTACCATAGCCATATTGTTCATTTTTCTGTTTGATATTTTGCTTGCCTATGTGGTTGTGTCCTTTGGAGCAGCAACCCTACTGCTACCTGCATAAGGCCCTATTTGTAGTAGTAAGCTTGTTATGCTATATACGCATAGCCTGGAAAAGGAAAGGCAGAGTTTGTGGTATGAATGAGATATTCCTTAGTGCTGTGACTGAAGTTAGTATGATTCTTTCACTGTTGTAGAATTGCTTTCTAAAATGGGAGAGACTATATCTAATCCATGTGTAGTGCTAAGGTTTTGTGATATTGTGACTGTGGAAATCTTGAACAGGTACGATTAGTGGTGGGTTTTCTTGTTTGTAGCTGGAAATTATTTCAATGAAATTCACTTCGCAAACACTACAGCAAGAGAACAAGAGGCTATTGAACCGCTTGGATGCGCTGGTACGTGAGCAGGTAAGCCACTAATGAAGTGCGTAACTGATGACCTGACTGAGAAGTAACTGTAGAAGGAATCAAGGTGCTCTTTGAAGTATCTGTATTTTTTGGAGAGTGGCTGATGAAATTAAGGAATCAAAAAGGGGAAAAAGTGAAAAGGATATCTCAAATATTACTCCATCTTTGTAGATGTCTGTGTGGGATGAGCTCAGAGGACTCTATAGTGTTTCTGGTGTTGGTATGTCATTAAAATTCTATGTCTCCATTCCATTTTCTAGTACAGGCATATAACTTGTGTATCTGTACATATATATTCAACTTACATTGGGAAGTTATTAACAAAAATTTTATGCCCTTTATGGACAAATTTGCACTTCGAATATCATTCCTGGTTTTAACTTGTTCCCATTCCATTATTTCTAACTAATCTCAGTCACCAAGATCAGGATACTTTACTGGTTCCAGAAAGGTTGAGTAAAAGCTTAGTGATACTGTGCTACCAGTGCTTTTACAGTGTTAGATGTAATGAGCAGATTGTGTTTGTTGGAGAGCCTAAGAAACACTTAGCTACTGATAAGGTCCTTACATCACAATGCTAAAGAAAAAATAACTCAGACAGCTTTCGAATGTTATTTGATAAAGTCACATTTCTGCAGTAGTTAGTGGATAACATATGTATATCTTCTGTTTAACACAGAATTCCTTTGGCAGTCAGCAGTTACAGAATATGAATCAATAGAGCATTCAGAACCTTTAAAAGTAGCCTGATTATTATTTTATTCTTTACTAAGTTATTTTAATTCTGTTCATGCCTACTCATTCTTCTAGTTATTATTGCTTTTCTGTTTCCTATTGTCAAAGGCTTCTTTCATCTCTTAATTTTTTTCTCCTCTGTCCCAGGACAGTGGCCTTCTTGGGGCCATCTGAAAGGTTGTATCAGTTTGAGCAGCTCTTCCTAAAGATTAAGCTGTCTTGCAGGAATTTGTGCCATTTGTATTTCTTATTTTTTTAATATCTGTTTTAGTGTTTCACCTAATGGAATATTTATACCTGAAGCAATAGAGGAAAGTTAAAATACTTAGAGAGAAACAAGATACTGAGTACATTTTTTGTTGCTTTTTGTCTTGTTTTTTGTATGGAATGGTGATGTCTGCTTGTTTTTTCCTCAGTGTGCCCAGCAGCAGGTGCAACAAGTGCTGGCAGAGCTGACTGACAGCAAGAATAAACTGACCTGCGACAAAGGAAAACTTCAGGTACCTCTCAGCATCGTATTTGTCAGTTCAAAAGGGAAACAACCTAAGGTTGTTTAATCTTCTCTCTTTGGTACTTAATTTGCAGGGAAGTGCTTATTGATCTTCTCTACTTAATTTGTGTACTGTCAAGCACATATTGAGAGTTCTGTATCAAAGTCATCTTCGATCCTGCTCACATTGCCTTATAGGGTGACAAAATGCTGTTAATGTAGCATCTCTAGGATTTGTGATTATTAACTTGCTTAATGTGTGAAAAAAGTAGAAGGACTAAGAATTGTTTCTTATTTCCATGTTCAGAAGCATTCCATACTCTTGGCACTGCTGCAAGCATGCAGGTTACTCAGAATACTGTCACAAAACTCTAATAGACGACTGATTTTCCTGCTCCTTTTCCTAATGATTTATTGTACTGCAGGTGGCAAGCCTGCAGCACCAGCTGGACGCAGCAAAGGATGATAGTAATAAGGCAACAGCCATGCTGGAGCGTGTGTTAGCATCTCGTAACAAGATGAAAGCAACACTGGATGTGATACAAACTGAGCTGGTGCATAAGGACACTGAAATCAGCCACCTCAGAAGAGACAAGTAAGTGAAACTGATACTGTTTCTGTGGTCTATCAGCAGTGTGGAGAAGACTTAAGAGTTGAAGTGTGGCATCTTCCCCATGGCTCTGGCTAATAAGCTATACAGCAAATTCGCTTGAGAAGTTTCCTACATGCTTTCCTGCAACACTGAAACATACTTGGTACCAGTGAACCAAGTACACCAAGTGCTTGTAGCCAACTTCACAAGCTTGGCAGGCCTTGTGCATCATGTGTAAAGTAAGTAAAAACCTATGTAACTTCAGTGACAGGCAGAACTTAATATGGTTAAGGTAGAGAACCAAACTGTGAGATGGTCACTTCTTCAGAGATGTGCAAAAATTGACTTAATGCATGATTTTACAATCCAATTTCCATTTTCAGGAGCCAGACTCAACCAAAAATACAGATGTTGGAAAGAGAACTGAAACACTGCCAAGCCAAACTGGTTGCCATGGGAAAGCAGCACCGTAGCCAGGTAGAGACCACATCTTTCCGTAGTAACAGCCACTGCTGCATTTTTCATGTTGAGCCAAGTACCTTTTTCTGAATACAGTGTGGTGTAACACAATCATGTGAACCAAGGTTAAAATACTGTGTCCACCTTGGGCTGTTGAAGAGGCAAATCATTATCTCAGTGTTGAAGGAGGCAAGCATCTCCTTTAAAGAGATTCCTTGGCACAGGTGTAGGTTTTACAGTCTACAGGTGGATACATAATATGAACAGATATTTTGGAAGTTTATATAGCACTTATTTTATATTCTTTTTCTTATTAGAATGGAGGGGGAAAGAGTCCAAGGAATTGCTTTCATCTTTCCTCATAATACTTGGTGTCACAAAGATTACCTCTCAACCCAAACACAGTCAGTATTGGCAAAGAACACTTTTTTCCAAGAAAGTCACGCCTATATGACAAGTTGTTCTGATCCTTCTGACTAAGTCAGTCAGTGGATTGGCATTGTAAGGATTCCCATGTAGATGCCTGTCCTTAGGATGTGTGTAATCAGACAGTTGGTGAATATGCTGTTACTTCCTCTAAGTTGATACTGACTGGGAAAGGGAAAAAATAGTCCTTCCTAAGCTTTTCATTTGGGTAGGTATAAATCTGATTTGTTGTTACTGCACAGGTGGAACCACTCTGTAAGGCACTAGAAAAAGCTAGAACAGACAAGAAGAAACTTGTTCTTTGTTTGGAAGAATTTTTGCAGGTCAGTAACACCCTGCAGAGCAAGCTGATCCAAACTCAATGTGAACTGAAAAGTAAAGAAACTGAGAATCAGCAGCTGATGCTCTACAGGTAAGAGCAAATCCATAATAAACACTTGAGGAGAAACAATACACTAACATCAGATCTTTACGGCTTTACTCATCCATCAATATCAGCACTGACTGTATGCTGAGCCAGCAAGATGATAAAGATAGGTTCATGCAGAACTAAAGAAATGGGCTCTTTCATTCATTCCCATAATGACTCTTTGACCTACTCTGCTATACTGAGGAACTGCTTACCAGGGTCATTATGGCACTTTTACACACAGCTTTTCCCTGAGGATAGCAGATACCACTTCCACTTTTGAAGTGGCCTGCAGTAGCTTTAGCAAAGACAGCAGAGAATAGCTGTTTAAATTCCCCACCCAAAATTGAATGTCTGTAAGTAAAACCTCAAACCTAAGTGTAGGTGCAGTCAGAGTTTCCTCATTATCCTTTGTCTAAACAGGCTTAGCAATCTTCTGAAGGAAAGTAAGTTGTCCTAAAGTGTTTCTTTCCAAAAAGTCTGTTTACCTTGCATAGGTATTATGAACTTCCTTTTAAATAAATGGAATGTGAAAGACTAGAAAACACATTCCAATGTTTAAAAGAGCAGTAATGCAGAGAGTATATCCAAAAGTATTTACAAACTAATTGTCTTCCTATTCTTGTATTTAAAAACTAAAACAAATACAAATGTGATTAACTGAATTTGTTTCTGCTCTTTAAAGGGAACAGTTAATGGAAAAAGACAAGACTGAGGGAAAGATGTGTGCTGCACACTTAGAGTTTTTGAAGAAGCAGTTTCAAATTGAACAAGAAGCTTCCAGGAGAGCCACATGTCACGAATCTGCTGAGGTGAGAAGGCATAGAGATTAAAAGATTTCACTGACAATTTTACAGCAGAACAAGAGGAGCTCATTACAAGTATCTGTCTCCTTTTCCATCCATCATGAAGTTGTCCATCACTTTTATACAAAACCCAGGATTTTATCATGTGGTAGACAGGCATTTCGGCAGCCATCCATAGTGTTATCTGTGCTTTCTTCACTGTCTGAAGTACCACCCTATGTCCCCCAGAACTATGTACTTCACTGTACATAAGATCTAAACACTGGTTTTCAGTCATGCCAGTAACTTCAGGAGGATAATCTGGGGTTGTATAGCAATCTCCAGGGATAAAATACTGGTTTGGAAGTCTGCTTTGTTTCTTGGGGGGCTGGATCACAAGCATAACCTTCACCTGTGCCAAGGCGGGATCAAAGCTCAGCATAACCTTAATATTACTCAAATCCCAGCGTACACTTTTCCCTTTGTTAGAAGGGTATTAAAGAAAAGTCAAAACACCAGGTGCTGTAACATGCTTCAGATAGAGCAAATCAATTGGGTGTGCTGCTTATTAATTGTTATACAGAACAAACTAATTCTTCTGTTAATGTGAACTCACTTTTTCCTCTTTCCCCTAGATAAAGAAATCCCATGAAGAAGAATGCTCCAAAGTTTCCTGTGCCAACAGAGAGCTACAGCTAAAGGTAATAGAGCTGGAAAAGTCTTTTTCCAGTTATAGGAAAAAGCTAAGAAGTCAAAGAGCTCAAGTCAGACAATGCCTGGCCTGTAAAGCTAATGCAGAAAGGATAAAGGTATGCACACATTTTTCAATAAAGGCAGATGTCCTAGTTGAGAACTTGTTTCTCTTACTGAGTAGGACTGCTGCTAATCCTTTGCAGTGGAGCTAGACTTGAAAATAAAACTAACTTTGGACTCAAATTCTGAACAGAAGATGATAGATCAATAGCACAGTAATTGTGTGGCTTCTCCTGTCATCCCTCCAGACCTGTATCAAATATGATTTCATAGAGTCCCATCTCCCACTAGATTTTTATAGTAGCGTTTGTCCTCTTTATTATATTGTCAGGTAACGTGATAACGGCATGAAAAAGTGGTGAGACACCCATGGAAGCATTTTTGTGCAAAATCCATAGGCTTGTAAAAAAGGTGGTAGAAAGAGTTTATGAACTCGGTTAAAAAATATTCTTACAAGTCTTACTGCGCCTGCTCCAGAAAGCCCAAATTACAATTTAACATACATTCACTGTATATCTGACTTAAGAGGGAGACAGTTTTAGGGTTTTTTTATATGATAGAACTCCAAGATATTTACACTGGGACAGTCCTTCCCTTACATTGCCATTTTTTATTTGTGCCATGAAAAAACTGCATATAAATTAATGTTACTTCTTTTTCTACTCAGGAACTGGAAAAAACAGTCAAACATCTGAAGGAACATAAAGAGGAGGCAGAAAAGAAACTGAAGGAAGCTAGCATAGACTCAGAACAGGTGAGAGTAGTTAGCATTAGAATAATAATTCATAGAATCATAGAATAGTTAGGGTTGGAAAGGACCTTAAGATCATCTAGTTCCAATCCCCCTGCCATGAGCAGGGACACCTCACACTAAACCATGTCACCCAAGGCCTCATCCAACCTGGTCTTGAACACTGCCAGGGATGGAGCATTCACAACCTCCCTGGGCAACCCATTCCAGTGCCTCACCACCCTAACAGGAAAGAATTTCTTCCTTATATCCAATCTAAACTTCCCCTAAGTTTTAACCCATTACCCCTTGTCCTATCACTACAGTCCCTAATGAAGAGTCCCTCCCCAGCATCCCTATAGGCCCCCTTCAGATACTGGAAGGCTGCTATGAGGTCTCCACGCAGCCTTCTCTTCTCCAGGCTGAACAGCCCCAACTTTCTCAGCCTATCTTCATACGGGAGGTGCTCCAGTCCCCTGATCATCCTCATGGCCCTTCTCTGGACTTGTTCCAACAGTTCCATGTCCTTTTTATATTGAGAACACCAGAACTGCACACAATACTCCAGGTGAGCTCTCACACGAGCAGAGTAGAGGGGCAGGATCACCTCCTTCGACCTGCTGGTCACGCTTCTTTTGATGCAGCCCAGGATACGGTTGCCTTTCTGGGCTGCAAGCGCACACTGCTGGCCCATGTTCATTTTCTCATCAACCAACACCCCCAAGTCCTTCTCTGCAGGGCTGCTCTGAATCTCTTCTCTGCCCAACCTGTAGCTGTGCCTGGGATTGCTCCGACCCAGGTGTAGGACCTTGCACTTGGCATGGTTAAACTTCATGAGGTTGGCATCAGCCCACCTCACAAGCATGTCAAGGTCCCTCTGGATGGCATTCCTTCCCTCCAGGGTATCAACCGAACCACACACCTTGGTGTCGTCAGCAAACTTGCTGAGGGCGCGCTCAATCCCACTTTAACAAGATGTTACTTCAGCATATGCACCAAGTGACCCTTTCGATCTCAGATACAGGTCTCTGGTGAAGTGCATCCTTGGCCTTTCCAAGTCACATTTATCATACTTTTAAAAAATCAACTAACTAAAAAAAAACCCCAAACTAACCAAAAAAAAACCTTTAGTATTGTTTTGATCTTTTCTGTGCATCACTTTGATTTCACGGGGCTTACAAGAAGAGCTTTTATCCCATGCAGACTATTGTTTTTATCAAGCTTAGGAAATCTGTATTAACCAACCAAACAGAAGTGTTTGGGCCATGTAAATTGCCCCACTCAGCTGCCCTTGTGTCACTCTACATGTGACATCATGCAAAACCACATTTCACACACCCACCCACCCCAAGAAGTCATTTGTCCTTGCATCACCTTATCCCTGCACTACTGTACATAATATCCAAATTATTATAATTTGCATAGGTTACTATAGTAGCCTGGGGTGAAAATCTAGTGGGTTAGATATTTTACAGGGTATTAACCAGCATAAAGTAAAATAAAAGGAATAAGGGTGATGTCTTACATGCTGTTTATCAACACAAGTACTATTCTGTGATAGAAAGAGACCTTAATAGCAAGAGAATATTTCTACACCACTCTTCAGGCAAAATCAGTCTTCCCTTGCCTTTCTCAGGAGTTTGTGGTACTTAATACCCATTTTTCCCCCCATTCTTCCAAAAGCCTTTCTGGTTTATACTATTTTGGAGACCACAGTTGACATCATTGCCCCCCCCCCAACGAAGAGGGTATCATGGAGCGCTCCTATCCCTATGAACAGGAGAAAGAATGGATAAGAAAAATTGTGAAAGAAGGTGTATGCTGATCTGCGTGTTCTTGCACAGAGCTCAAGAAGTGGAGCACAGCATGCACTGACTGTTCTCTCTGCAGTTCTAATTACACTGTCTTGCCTAGATCGCAATGAGGCTAAAAGCAGCTCACCGTTGGTTCAAATCCCACTACCAGCAGCTAGAAGCTGTGAAAAAAACACCAGCCAAAGACCTGTGAAGACAGCAGCCCCAGAAAAGAGGTAAAGGAAGCAAGCACATTTGGTTCAAAGGGGGAAGCAAAGAAAATAGGCAGCGGAAATATTTGGTAGCTCCTTATCAGTCAGTAATATTTTCCTAAATTTCCTTTTGTAGTTCCCTACACAGGGGTAGAAAACAGACCCCTCTTCTAGTTTAGTTTGCTTCCTCCTCTTTTCCCAAATGACATACTGAAGCAGCAAAGAATATTACAGGAAAAAGATTGCTTCAAGGGACTGTTTCTGTACTTAGAAAAGGTTGTATTGCACATTTTGTTGGTGCACATTAACCAAATACTTGTCTGAAAGCTAACAGCTAGTAGATTTCTTTCTCTACATTCACCTGTTTCAGTGGTTCTCCTTCCCCAGATCCATGCCTTTTACAGATACCTTTTCAAAAGCTACGCTTACCTTGTTTGTGTAGATTCCTCAGCCTTCTCCATAATTGATAGTTCTTATAGAGGCATGTAATTAGCCTTTTAGAGATGTATGTATGAAACTGCTGAAACTTTAGCCTCTTCTTCAGTAAGGACAGAGATTCCCTGAACAGTCACCAGCTTCATAAAACACAGCATCTTTTTCCAGGAGAAAAAGCAAGAAGAATATCCCACTTACACCTCCCTGGACACAGCAAGACCCAGCACTTCCAGCTCACCACCAGGAAGGCCACGTGAGTTGGGCAGGAAATGAGCAAACTTGTCTGGATGATTCCCAGTCCAGGGAGAGCATCACCTGCCAGGAGGAGACTCCCAGCTAGCATGCAGGTGCTGGAGAAATTGGGGACTTCAGCTGATCTCACATAATTAGATAGGTCTGTAGCACTGAGAAGGTATTGCAGATAGAAGGTGCACACAGCACACCACATATAGGGGACTTAGGGTTGCTTGTTTAAGTCATAAACTGATTTGAAGTAAGTCATACCTCTCACCTGGTCTTTCTGACTCAGATTCTTTGCGATGTGAGACTGATATAACTACCATTTGTAGCAAAACAATTACTCTTTGAATGTTGATATGCTGCATCTTTCTTTTCATCGCTTTTCTTTTACCAGCTGTAGACTGGCAGGTGCTATCAAAACAAATCTCTGACTGGTTTGCAGAGGGTTCACATGAATGCCCAAAGGCTGAGTCGTGTGTGTGGCTGGATGCTGACGTGACTGGAACAGGGTGGAACTGGCAGGACTGGCTGCTTCTAATGGCAGATGATATCTGGGTCATGAGAGAACACAAGCCTTGGGCTTTAGGGAACGCATTAGGTGTGTGATGTTACACCACACATCACCTTACCTTCATAAGAATTAGTGGAATTTGTTCAACCTATCCTACTGTGGAACAACACACTGGGGAAGGAGTAGTTGAAGCAGCTGACTAACATCATAATATGTTGAAGATGATTATAACATAGACAGCTTTCATATTTGTTCAACGAAGGATCAGCTCACCTTCCTCAGAGCTTACTCTTCCACATGGTTCAGTACAACCCAGCTTCAGTGCAAGTGTTCTTGTATGCTGATTTGCTTCAACAGAGCTGCTCACAGGCTCCTCTGTGATCAGTGGTACTATGTATTTCTGTGAAGTCTATACACGTTATTTGCAATACTTTAGTGGGGTGGGAAGTCTTGCATACCTGTGGAGCCTGGGGGACACACTCATTCTACTCCTCCAGAAATTTGGTCCTAAACTGTAACATATGTGATAGGACTCTAATTCACCATGATGTGAAGCTCTTCCTGAAGCAAATGGCTGTTCTAAGGAACGAGGGGCGGCTGAGCACACTATTGAAGCTAATGCACACCTGAGCTTCATTAAATTGTGGTGCTTACAAACAGGCCTGTGCATGTTTACACACAGGCCTATTCATGTTTACACACAGGCCTATTCATGTTTACACTGAATGATTAAGTAGGTTGCCTAACAAGGGACAAATGAGTGTGCCCTTAGCCTTCCAGAAAGGACAAAGCACATGGCAGCTGTGTTTGTATGAACTGTATGCTGGCAGGGCAACAGCACCAACCACCTCTGTTTTCCTTCTGTGGGAGTTTTTACCAATATAAGGAGTAGCTAAAGGGATGTTTTTTCACCCCTTCCTTGTTCCAGAATCCTCTGCTCTCTCTAGGGCCATGAATTTGTAGTTACTTTGATTACTGACGGGCTATGGCCATTAAACTTGGGACTTACATTTGCATAGTGACAGTCTATTCCAGGTTCAACACCTCCTGTTGCTTCTTTTAGGCCTGTTTGGGATTTAGGGTGGAAAGCAGTAAGATAGGGTGTAGTTGTGAAGGATTACTGTATCCCAGTACCTTTAAATTTTAGCATGACCTTAAGTTTTGACTATGTCTGCTTTAGCAAGCAATGCTGTTCTGTGGATCACATGCAGAATGAAAGAGCTGGTCCAGATGTCCAGGATGTGTCCTGGACTAGGTTTTTCTTTGGATTTGCTCTGGTGTAATCCTGCTGACTGAATGGTCACTAGCAACTGGAGCACTTCTGGAAGCCATCCTCTAAATTGCTTTCACTTGAAAGAAATCTAGTTTGCTCAGAGCCTGCTCTGTACTGTGAAGCATACCATGATGAGTGGCAGCTCACCCGCTGGAAACATCAGAAGTACACAATTGACAAGAACTTGTTATTTTCTTTAAACACAGTAATTTCAACAAAGCTGTAGTATAATCTAACACTTCTGCCACCTGCAGGATAAATAACTGAGTTCTACATTGCTAGCCTTTCCCCAGGCTTGGTAGCTGCTCAGCCTCTCTTAGGTACAGCAATATTTGTGCTTTCTAAGGAGCAAGAAGGTCGCTTGTTCTTTATCTTCCTGTCAGGCTGTGGCCTTCAGCAAATGTGGATGGCAAACAGCTTTCTACACTTGGCAGTGCTGGTATCAGCAGTGAAATCTAAGTCAAAGATTGTTCATCTCACAGCCATAAATGCAAGTTGGATATAAAATCTAAGTTCTATCTTCATATATAGATGTGGGGGTTTTTTTTGCACAAGCATTTGAGGAAGATTTAGATAACTGGCACTGAGACAAGTAGTATCTCTCTTCCTTCTGCATGCTCAAAATTGTTTAGCACATCCTTTCAGAACACTGTTTGCTTGCAATATGAATTTTCCAGTCCGTATTGACTGGGTTTCATTAAAAGTTGGCTGACAGCAACCAGCAGTTAGCTGTGCTCCCATAAGTAACCAGCTACTTGTTGCCTTGGGAGGCAACATCACAGCTTGTTTTCTGTTCAGCAAACTACTCAGCCATATTTTGCTGTAGCACATAACATATAGCCATACATATAACTATATATGTAACTACGTACTCTTTATTTATGGTAAAGCATAATTTGCTGTATTGGAAGCAGTATGCTTCCACCATCATATTTTCTTGAACTGTCAGAACTAATTAAAACCCCAGACCATTTGCAGTGTATGTGAAGTAAGAAGCTGTATGATATTATTAATTTTTGCTCTATTCAGTAGGATCTGTCTTTGCTGAGAATGAGTAAACATTATCATTATCCTCAGAATTTTTATTAACAAGTTCAGAACAACAACACAAGTCACACTGATTTTAGTAAATAGAAATCAAACTCCTTCAAATAGGAGAGCTGCTGGGAATACGAACTCCTAGAATACTTGAAATAGCGAGCTCTCCAACCTCTGGGGATTATTATGAGCCCACTGCTTCTGTATTACAGTACTTTTAATACTGCACATTAAAAAAGCAAACCTAACCACCAGCAAACAGGACTTCTTGAACCACCTCACTGGTAAGTAGTTGTAATATTGCACATCATAAATCTTCCCTTAAAAAAAAAACAAAACAACAAGCTGCCCTGGACTTCAGTTTGATTCTGTATACAAGACTGGGATTACAAAGCAGTGCATCAAAGGAGAACAGCTAATAACAGCCAGACCTGAGCATGTCAGTTTCCACCCATTTGTGATACAGTTCAAATATTGGAAGTAGAAGTAGTCCATTAAGCCATGTACAGCACAAGCCCTGTCTGACCACCTACAGAAAAAGCTGTACACAAATCCATTTCCCCAGCACTGCATAATGCAAAAGTTGATACAGAGGGTATCAATTCCACCTGCCACAAACCTCATCATACAACTGCGTAGGTATACATCAGCTTCCGAGCCATTCTGATGTTTCCACTGCTCTGATAAATAAGTGACAAGTTAAAGGCAGCATCTCTTCTCAAGTCTGTCTGGTCAGTCTCTATTCCCTGTAAAAATAACGATGGAAAAAAGTTACTATATGCAAAAATAGTATAAAATTTGAAACATGAGTAGCAATGACAGTGGAATCAAATCACGTATTCATGGTTTATATAGGCTTTCAGCTGCACAGAAACTAAAGTAGTAGTATTACTTGTGCCCTCCCTCTTTAGGGAGTTGCCACATGTTGCTAATCACAGAGTTACACAATTACATACTCAGATCAACTGTAAATTAGAAAGCCAGCTCACAAACCAGGAAAGTACTGTCTTAATTTGTCTTAGCATGCAAAGTAGTTGTTTCTTCAATCAGAATGTGAATACTGCCTGTATCTTTCACACCGTCACAGGATGCTGCTTTGAACTCAATCACTAACACCCACATTCCTCACTTTACCAACCCTTCCTGTCTTCTAAAGACACTTGCAATTTTACTACCTTCCCAAGCCAAAGCAAAACTTCCTCTCAGACCAGACTTGTAAACGTGCGACACATCAATTAGGGTGTTGTAATACAAATCAGAGTAAAACCATGGCTCACAGGCATTCAGGCAATCTTAATAATGGGTCATACTGCTCCAGCATGCTCTTTTATAGCATGAGTGACTAGATACAACTTCCAGATATAATTCATTACATGTAATATATATATATATAAAGTTTAGCTACTTATTCAGGTGAAGTTGTGTAGTGACCCTTTCTGCTGCTACTTCACTCAGCCTATGAGTAAATCCTTCAAAATTCATAAACCTGTGAAATTAACACATGCTTAAATATACTACCAGGTGACAATAAGGTTTGGGCTTCCAATGACAAGGAATAACACCACAAATTAAAGGAAACTCAATGACATTGATCTTATGTACCTATTTTAACTATGGCTGATATATTACTAACATTGACCTGACTTTATTTTCTGTACCTAACTCGCAAAGAAACGGTACCTCTAAGGTGAGCGGAGGAAGTTCAAGTACTTTCTGGTAATAGTGGATTGCCAGGTGCAGCAATCCCAGCTGGTGAAGGCCACGGCCAAGGTTGTAGAATGACTCTTGACATGGTCCACGCAGGTCCAAGTACCGGTGAAGGAAGGAAAATCCCTGTACACGTATTATGCACATTAGAGAATGTTCCCTTTAACAAGATGGCAGCAAGGTGGGGAAGAGGAGTTTAAGTGTATCGACTTAAACTATGCTCCCCCACAAAACCACAGGCAAGTTAATGGTAATAAGTAAATCGCATTGAATTGTTGAGACTATAAACCCTGTGCTCTGTCAGTCTCACTGCCTTTGGCAACAATGGGGAGATCTCTTTAAGAAACTGAGCACACAGTTAACGAGTAAAGTGACTTATGGCACTAGTTCACTAAATGTAAGTGCATATGTACGTGTTTATGCAGTGTACACGCTGGTAAGATTGGTTCATGTTCAGAGAAGCCAACCACCTTGAAAACATAATGGGTTTTGGTTTAGAGGAGCTGAGGACCTGCAGCTTTTGTCAAAATCAGTGTAAGCTACAGTTTTTCAGCAGTTTCAGAAGTAATGAGAGCTCAGAATCCTCACTCTATTCAGCTGACTCCCAGCTCAGTGGCCACAGGAATTAAAAAGCATTTCAAGTTAATGAAAATACTTGGTGGAGAGTAGAGGGAATTACTTTTAAAGTCTGGGAATAATCAGCCAGTGATTTGTAACTGGATCTGCCAGATTAAAGGAAAACGTGAAGAAGGGAGCTGAAAAACTGGAGGGCAGCCTAAACTGGAGTTCACAGCATCTTTACAAAGAGAGCCGTGAGAGGCACCTA